ACACTTAAACAGAGAGACAGAGAGGAGAGAGAGAGAGAGATTTAGAGAGAGATACTGAGCACAATAACAAGAACAACGCTTGGAGCGCACGGGCCACGCCCCATGGCACTTGAAGGACGCGCCCATGCGCTCAGCCTCGGGACTGATCTTAAGGAAAACAAACAAAAATATATATATATATATATAAGTGTAGGTAAATAAATGGTAAACGGTAAATTGGTAAATTGATAATTGTAAATAAAAAAAAAAATATATATGTTAATATCAACTAGATGCTGCAAACGGTTGCTCAACAGTTGAGCCCAAAAGGAGGCCTCCTCCCCTAATTGAGTCCAGCCGCAGCATCTGTTGTGTGTGCGTGTGTGTGTGTGTATATCTTTTTTATAGGGTATCAATATAAATGTGGAATTTACTCTGCTTCGCCCGTGTGTATCTTGCGGTGCATGGCCAGCGTGCCGGGCGTCTTAAACGTTTTGGGGCAATCGGGACATTTATGCCGGATCTTATGCGCCAGATCCGCGGGCACCGATTGCGTGCTAACCAGCACGCTGGTCGCACCGGCACCAGGTGTGCCCGCCGGCTGGACGCCAGGATTCGCTTGTATGGCATAGACAGGCACCGCATTCACCACATCGCCGCTGTCGCTCAAACTGAGTGGCTCCTCCTTGATGATCACCTGCAATTGATATGCATATGAGAATGGGAGTACATCTTGGGCATATTAAATATATCAGAGAGCATTTCCAGAATTACACAGAAGCAGACCTTTAATCATATGCTGATGTTTTTACTTTTAATTGATATCCAATCTCAATTGGCATTATGAGAAATGTTTGTTTTCATTTCTATTCACTTTCTTTCAAATTCCTCGAGATATCTCCCATCAGATCTGATAATAAATAACATGATTTTACTTTAATATGATATCAAATCTCATAGGAAATGTTTGTTTCTCTCTATTTACTTTCGATTAAAGGCTTTCTCTTTAGAATTCTTCGACTTACAAAGATATATCTCATGAGATCTTTCAAATTCCTCGAGATATCTCCCAACAGATCTGATAATAAATAACATGATTTTACTTTAATATGATATCAAATCTCATAGGAAATGTTTGTTTCTTTCTATTTACTTTCGATTAAAGGCTTTCTCTTTAGAATTCCCCGACTTACAAAGATATATCTCATCAGATCTTTCAAATTCCTCGAGATATCTCCCATCAGATCTGATAATAAATAACATGATTTTACTTTAATATGATATCAAATCTCATAGGAAATGTTTGTTTCTTTCTATTTACTTTCGATTAAAGGCTTCCTCTTTAGAATTCCCCGACTTACAAAGATATATCTGTCAGCTCTCAAATTCCCTACCTTTATAAGATATATAGTACACTCTCGTTATCAACAACAATTAAATTGTATAATTTGATATGATTTTGATAAGATATTAGGTTATACACAATATTAAGAGATCTCTTAACCGGAATAAATACTATCAACAGATCTTCTAAACTGAAATCTTTAAGCCCATTAAAAACAGATAATGAGTGACATGAACTAACGAGAGCTCAGCCAAAGGACAATCTCTTTAAGACTGTATTTTTGATGTGCTTCCAGTTTTTATAGCCTTTCTTATGAAATGTGAACTTATCTCCGATCTCCGAACCCATAAAGTATATATATTTCTGATCTGATCAGCTCTACTAAGGGACATCTGACTTTTCCATTTGCTTCCAGTTTTTATAACCCTTTCTTATGTGAAATATCAAACTCAAACGAGGCGACATCTCTGAACCCATAAGTCATATATATAGTCCTGATCCTGATTTTCAAGATATCTTAACCCAAACTGGACAATTGCGAGCTTCTACCTTAGCTTTAGCCTTATTCCCTTCTATAAAAAATTCTGTAAATATAAATATGATTATTTTGTCTGGCTGCTGCGTGTCTTCTGGAAATGCTTGACTTGGTTTTGCCGTCCGAAACTTACCTGGGGATGTGTTACCGTTGCGCCGTTGCCGTTCTTCAGTAGTTTTACCGTTAGCGGCGGCACCTTGGGCGTTGCCGGATCGGTCAAGTCTTCCTGATGCTGTTGCTCCTGGAGTTCACGTTGTCGCTGCTGCTCCTGTTGTTGCTGCTGCTGCTGCTGCTGTTGTTGTTCGAGTTGCTGGTGATGATGTTCCTGTTGATGTTGCTGTTGCAATTGTTGCTCCTGTTGCAGCTGTTGTTGCTGCTGCTGCTGTTGTTGTTGCTGTTGTTGTTGTTGTTGTTGTTGTTGCTGCTGCTGCTGGTGCTGCTGCTCCTCGGGCGTCAGTCTCATATCACGCGGCGCCATGGCCGGCAGATCGTCGGGCGTCACCGGCGCCTCCTGATGCTCCATAAACGTTTGCTGACCGGCGGCCAGCATGGCCGCATTACAGACGGCACCACAGTGAGAGCATTTGTATTCGTTGGGATTCTGTGTTACAGAATTGACGCCATAAATGCTGCAAACGATGCAGCGCGCCAAAAAGACAGTCTGATGCGTCAGCCGATGGTGCTCGTCCACCTCCAGCGGGCTACCAAACTTATCATCACAGTTGGAACACGCAAAGCTCAACGGCTTCAGCTGCTGTTGCTGCTGCTGTTGCTGCTGTTGTTGCTGCTGCTGCTGCTGCTCGAGACTGGGTATGCCGCCGGGCTGTGCGTTGAGTGTGATGCCATGGCAGAGCTGCATGTGCTCGGCGGCGTGCTGGGTGCGCTCGAACTGCTGATGGCACATGGGGCAGTAGTGCGGACTGATCACGTTCGGATCCATGCTGAGATTGGGCAGAAACGTTGTCTTAAGCGTGTCCATGCTGTGGCCGGAAGGGACTGATCCTGCACCTGCTGATCCTGCTCCTGCTCCTGCTGCTGCTGCGGCTGCTGCGGCTGCTGCTGCTGCTGCTGATGCAGACGTTATATTGTGGGCTATCACGGCGGCAACTTGATGCGTGGGCTGTGGCTGGTGCTCCTCGGGGCGTGGCAGACGCAATTCCTGTGTGTTTGTGCTAGACTTTAACATTTCTTTCTTCAGGCTGGGCAGGCACAGGCGCAGGCAGTTCGGGCGAGCGGGCGGGCAGCGGACAGCGGGCAGCGGGCGGTCGAGCGGGCTTAGTTTCTCTAATTGCGTTTGGCTTTTGTTTTAGTTCGGTTTAGTAAGCGGCTTATTTCCAGCAGCACCAGTTCTGTAATGATGCATTTTTTGTTTGTTTGTTTCAGGCAAAACTCAGCATTTGGATTTGGTTTGTTTGTTTTATTAGTTCGTTAGGCGTGGCCGAAGGCAAGCCACAAAAATAATGCTCATTGAATTCGTTTCTTCTGCTCAACATGCTAGCAATACCTGAGAAGTAATGTCAGTGTAATGATTAATTTCAGGTGTTTATTCCATTGGCAGCATGACTGTACACATACAGTGGTCGCCCGTCAAGAAGAACTACTTTATATTTTGAAGAACTATTAAATCTTCTTAAATACTTTTCAATGTAGAACATTCGAAAATGAAATAAATATAAGCTAAACTTAATTCTGCGGTTTCCCATTTCTGAAAGTTCAAATTAGCGGGTGATCACTGTACCAAAGCTGCCGAAACTGAACATTCAATATACATATACGCTATGCTCGAGGATCAGGATAATAGCAAATACATAACCTAAAAAAATTGTTCTATCTGGCAACTCTGTTGAGTATTTCGAGCCCTTAGCATGCCTTGGCAGAGACTACGTGCTTAAAGATGTATTGCGCCAGGCGCAGCGAAAAGGCGAAGAAGAAAGCTGCGTTGCGGCGAGATAACAAAAGCGGTGACTGCGGCTGCGGCAGCGCTGCTTGTAAAAAAAAAAAAAAAGCACAAAAAGCGCGCTGTCCTGTTGCAGCAAGTGTGAAGCATAATACTAGTAGAAAACACACACACACACAGCAGAGTGCAAAAGCAAGAGCAAATAGCAAAAGGCGGCGCAAATTAAGCGTAAATTAGCACAGAAAATCAGAAATTTGACGAGCCCAGCGGCGGCGGCGGCGGCGGCAGCGGCGACGGTGGCAGCGGCTCTCGCCTCGCGCGCAAAACGAAACGAAATCGGAAATCAGTTGGCGCTGCCGCTGCTGCGGCGGCTGCTGCTGCTACCGATCTCTGTTTCTGTGTTTCTCTGCTTCTGCTGGTTGTGTTCCCCAAAGTTTGACCCCCACGTCCACCCCCCTCCGTTCGCACACACACACACACACACCCAAACTCACAGTCACACACTTATGGGGGGACAGGCAATGCGTTCGAATCGAAAAATTTTTCGGTCCGTCACTGTCATATTCTAAATTCGGAATTCTATTTTGATTTTTTTCTTTTAGTTTTAGTGTGCTGCGTGTGCTGCGCGTTTTTGTTCCAAGCCCTTACCAGCGTTTCCACGTATTGCACTTGTGTATTATTACGGCCGTTTTTATGGCGAAATTGCCAATCAATTCAACAACATTTTCTTTGTATTTGTACAAGAAAAATACATTAACTTTTCACTTTTATTATTATTTTTGGCGAAAAATGTACAAGTACAACAAAAAGTATCGACGACATCGATACTTTTGCGTATTTTACTTTGCACTGAAATTCCAGCATCGATAACACCTCGATAGTGCCAGTTTAGCGTTGCCAGATAGTTGACACTACAGAGCAGCACTGTTAACATTGATTCACGAAATTGGCGACAAATGACTTAATTTACACAATTTGTATGCACCAAAATGTAATTATTAAGTGTTAAGCTGAAATATAAATCCGTGGGGAGCACAATGTCATGTCAGAGTCTGTGTACCTAGTGTGACTTGCACGTTTGCGGCTTTTTTCGTGACACGAACACACAGTGAATAGCACGACGTGTTCGTGACACCTACAAATATCAGTAGTTTCAATAAATTGAATTAGCAAGCTTATAAATTTCAACTAATCAAATTTATTTGATTATTACAATTAGAATTAATTTTCAGTTAAATAAACCAGACACTTGCCTATCTGTAAGCTATATGAGAACAGAATCTTTCTGCGCCTCACTTAACAGAATTACTCCACCGCTTAACAGAGCTTTTGCTCGTGTGTGTGTGTGTGTGAAATGTGCTTTGCTAATTTCACAATTGAGCAAAACAAAGTTTTTTGATCGCCAGCAAAAGAAATTAAAAAACAATTTCAACACAATTGGCAATTTTGAAAAGAGCATAAAACACGGCCAAGCAGGCAACTTGGTCAGATCGTCAACAAATTACAGTAAGCAGCGGAATAAGGAAAACGAGCTCGGACAGCCCAAATAAAGAAAAGTTTGTTTTGTGTATTTTTTGAAATTCAAGTGAATTTTAACAGTAAATTGTTTTTACTATTATTGCCTAATAGCATGTCGTCGCCCTGGTCCAAGGTGAGCGCTGAGCCCGTACAGACAGCCAATTTGGCGGACATCATGTCCGAGCAATATGCGCATCGCCTGCACGACAAGGAGCTCAAGGAACAACAGCTAAGGCAAGAGAAACAGATGCAGCCCGTGGCCACGCCCACGCCCAGTTACTCGAATATAGTGGACACAACAGCCAGTGCCAGCAGCAGCGATGCTGGCGCCTGGGAGGATTACTCCATGCTCCTGAATCTCGAAGAGGCGCAACAGCAGAAGGAACAGCTGCCGGGTGATATCTTAACGATGCTGCAGAATGAGGCCGAATCGGATGCGGTTATAGCGCAAATGCTGCAATCCCAGTTCGATCACGAGTACAACGAGGAGCTGCGTCGCATCGAACGGCAGCAGAACAAACAGTCCAAGGTGACCGTCACGCTCAACAAATATTTGCGCAGCGGCGATGCGGAATTTCTGCACGACACCGAAGCGGACGAGGACTACGAGGAGGATGAGCTGGCGCATCGCAAGCACGACTGGGATCGCTTTGAGACAAACGAAAAGATACTGGATGCCATACCCAAGTGTGGCTTTAAGCTGGACAAAGAGGGCGAAATGATAACCAAGCACGATCCACAGCTGTGCGGCGTGCGCAATGCACAGCGTGTGATGTCCTTTCCGCCAGAGTTTCCCACCGGCGATGGCGCCTGCTTCGACATGAAGCTGTCCAACAAGGTTAAATGCTTTCAAATTAATTTAAACGTGCGCTAATTCAATTAAACTCTTCGAGCAGGTCTTCAATCAGCTGAAGGCTTATTCGCGACGCGGACGCGCCGATCGCAAGGAGAAGGTGGCCACAGCTGAGATGGGCGTCGATGCGGCCACACGTCTGCTGCTCTACAAGCTGATCAACAATCAGATACTGGAGCAAATCAATGGCATCATATCCACCGGCAAGGAGGCGGTCATACTGCATGCCAATTCCGATGCCAGCTACACGGGCACCAATGAGCATGGACATGGCAACGGGGTGCTGATGCCCGCCGAACTGTTGCCCAAGGAGTGCGCCATCAAGGTGTTCAAGACGACGCTGAATGAGTTCAAGCAGCGGGATCGCTACATTAAGGACGATTATCGTTTCAAGGATCGTTTCAGCAAACAGAATCATCGGGTCATCATCAATATGTGGGCGGAGAAGGAGATGCACAATCTGATGCGCATGCAGAGCATTGGGCTGAATGTGCCCGATGTCGTCGTGCTAAAGAAGCATGTCCTGGTCATGCGCTTCATTGGCGACAATCACAATGCGGCGCCCAAGCTGAAGGATGCCCGCCTCAGTGCCGCCGAGCTGAGCTGCGCATACGAGGAAATCGTTGCCGCCATGCACAAGCTCTATAACGAGGCGAAGCTGGTGCACGCCGACCTCAGCGAATATAATATACTCTGGTATGAGGGCAAGTGCTGGTTCATAGATGTTGCCCAGAGCGTGGAGCCGGAGCATCCCAGCGGCCTGGAGTTTCTTATGCGCGACTGCGCCAACATTGTGCAGTTCTTTGAGCGACGCGGCCTGCCCAACATCTACACCAAGGAGCAGCTATTCGAGTTCATCACAGCGCTGAATGCCGAAACGCACAATGCCGCCATGCTGGAGCGCATACATACGCGTGGCGCCTCCATCAACCAGGCGACGGTGCCCAATCAGCTGGAGTGCCCGGATGAGCTGAAGCCGCTCGAATATCCCTTCGAGCTGGCCTGGGAGAAGTCGCAGCAGGAACGCGAGGCGGCCGCAGCGCTGCGTCAACTGCAGCTAAACGATGTGGAAGCGGAGCAAGCAGATGAGCAACTGGAGCACACGGAGGAGCCCAAAACGAAGCTAAACAACGATAACGACAACACTGCCAAATGTGTCCAGTGACAGGCGTCTGAATTTAAGTTAACTATTCAACTTTAACTCTTAAATGTACTTGATGTGAATTTATAAAATTCATAAACAAAATCTTGTTGGACTTTGAGGCTCACGCTACGAATCCACATCTTTGGGTTCGATGCGTGAACCTCGACTAGCCACAGCCAAGTCCAGTTTGTTAATTTTCAACATTTTCAATTGTTTTAAGAATTTGATTTCAAAAATGTTAATTTTGTTTATTTAGCATTGGCATATGCTTTGGCAACAGCTCAGTAATGCTTCCCTTTGGTTCAGACTAAATGAATTAAGATTTTAAATTGCTCGGTATGCAAAAGGAATCCTTCCAAATTGTTAAAAGTTCTATTAATTTTAACATGATATTATTAAAAAAAAGAACTAGCTTAAATTCAGCTGTGTTTTTTTATACTAGAAAGGAGATACAATAGCTCAAGATCTTAGCTTATAATTTTAATATCTGTATGCCCTGACCATGTGTAAAAAGGGTATAATGTTTATATGCCTACTTATGTAACAGGCAGATGGATTCATCTCCTGGCTCCGTAAGGTCCCGATCCGACAAGCTGGACCTATCTAGCCATGTCTTGTATGTACCTATCAAAGCCCAGAGACTTGAAATTTGAAATATATGTACTTCTATAACATAAGTTTTTTTCAAAACCCTTTGAAATCTCCAGTTTATATAATTTCAATAAACTTATTACATATCTAAAACTATTTCCCATAAAAATCATAAAATGTTCATTTGAGACGCTTTCTTCTATGTAAGAGACAGAAATAGATTTCTTCGATCCAAAAAGTATGGCCTATATGATCCAGCCTATTCCGTCCATCTGCCCGAATGTATGAACCCTTCGATCTCGGGAACTTCAAAAGCTAGCGCCTTGAAATTTTGAACATAGATTCTTTACAGAGCACAAAAGTATTAAAGTTAGCTCACATCAATGATAACTCGCTTGTTGCTATGAAATCGATATAAATCGATACAGAATTTCTGTTTTTTGCACATATCTCGAAGACTATAAGAGCTAGAGAGGTCAAACATGGAATGTAGTATATATTGGAGTATACATAGATCCAGATTAATTTACTTTTTTGATCCGCTCACTCAATCTACTAAAAAGTTGAAAACAAACGCATTTGAAGAGTTGAAGTCTTGGACTTTGGTATACAGACAGCTTTTTATGCCATATTAAAGCCCAGAAAATTTCGTAAATATCGCACTACAAAAACCCGAGTTAATCAAGAATGCATGGGCTGGGGGCGGTACGAGGGGAGATTAAACGTTTAATTACTGGCTTAAGAGTTTATTTATTATTTTGTTTATGTCTCTTAATGGCTTTGAACTTGAATGCAAATTGTTATTAATCAATTAATGCAAGATGTGGAAACTGTTCAAAACTGGCGCACGCGCCACGCCTTCGTCCGTGTACGAGTCGCACGGCTACGCCCCCATGTTGCCAACAATTGAACCCATTTGAGCCGCGCATTTGCCATTAATTGAGAGATTTCTCTGCGCCGTGCAAGAAAATCAACCAATTGATTAAATCATTTCCATGCGCATTCGAATCGCACTCGATTGGATCATCAACAACGTCTCGTTGCGGCTTGCCGCATGCAACGCGTACCCTGCATACCCTGTACTCGTTAGCAGTGCGCCAAGCGGGTATGCTCAACTTGAGACAAGGCATGCAACAGGCAAAAGCTTGTGCTTGGTGATTGTGAAAGTTTATTTCTTATCTATCCGGAATACTCGTACGATTTCCACATAAGGGATAAAGCTTAGAGAATTCTCAATATTTTTTCCATGTGCTAATTTTTGGGTAATACTTGGGTAGTATACCAAGCCCATGAGAAAGTAATCTAACTAGATATTTAAATATTTATAAATCGAAATAAAAACAAAAAACACAATCAAAGTTTTTCACTTTTCTCACTTTCGTGAATTTAACAAACAGGTGAAATTCGAATTTAGTTCAAGAACTTTTTCACCAAAATCTTTCTTTTTTTGCGGAAAGTGTGAAACACATCGATTGAATTTTCACAAAGATCTTTGAATAGGATTTTGAGCTCCTTCGCATGATAAGCTAAGAAGAAACGCTTTCCGCGCATTTTCCACACTTGCGGGTGGAATTTCCAATAATGCGGACGTGCTAACATTAAGTATAACAATATTTAATATTTTTTTTATTTGCATTTAATAATTCATCTAAAAAGGCAGATCAGCTGCCAGCTGAGCGGATCTCGTCTAGATCATTTCTGATTATTTTAGTTTATTTTTTGCGAAACTACGTAAAAATGTCCATGTGCTGGACTTTAGTAAATAGACCGCGTCAGTTCGTTTAGATCTTATGCTATAAGCCATATAGACTTTACATAGAAGTCAAGTAAACAAATGCTCAGCTTTAGTTGGGTTTACTAAGTCCACCTCGATTGGAACTCTCTATGCATACGTAATAGGCCTGACGTAATGAATCTGATTAAATAGACCGACATTTTCATGATTGAATATTTTACAGACGCCATCGATTAGATTGATGAGAAGAATATAAGCAAATTTCATAAGTTATTTAATATAAAACATTTAAAATAGAATGAAAGAACATTAAAAACAAATCATGGCATATCTCGTGGGTTAGAGGGTCGACTATCGTTGACATTTACCTCATTGTCATGATGGATTTGATAATTTGTGCATTTACATTATTTTGTGTTAGGGTATTTGGCATTCGACTAATGCGCTTCTCTATTGGAAACTCATCTCTTTGTTGTGACACATTTTGTTAATTTTATTTCTTTTTTTTTCAACAAGACATCAATCAAAATTGAACTCTCAACAATCAGCAGACGCTGAACTGCAAATATTATGGATTTTTAATGGACATTTTTTTGTTTTTTGTTTTTATACCCTGAACCCATTAAAAATGGGTAGAAAGGGTATATTGTATTTGTGCGAAAGCCAAGTGTATGTAACAGGCAGAAGGAAGCATCTCCGACCCCATAAAGTAGATATATTTTTGATCAGCATCAATAGCCGAGCCGATCTAGCCATGTCCGTCTGTCCGTCCGTCCGTATGTATGAACGCAAGGATCTCAGAACCTATAAGAGCTAGAGATGTAGCTGCTCCTAGTTCCCGCGCAGATCGGGGTTGTTTCCGATAATCGATAACTTACTCCGTCTCCAAGCAATCGATAAAAATCGATATCGATATCCTGTTTTTTTGACCAATTTTGGTAAATAATAAGAGCTAGAGTCAGCAAACTTGACATATAGCTTCTAAAATAGAATATATATATGCATTTGATGTTGGAAGAAGAGGTTACAGGGTATCCCTTAGTCGGGAGCTCCCGACTAGAACCTCTTACTTGTTGACGTTGCATTTGACGTTGGCAACAGGCAACAAGAAAACGAACGAAAACAACAAAGGGGATCATCTTATGGGCGTCTGTCGAAATACACACGCGTGCACACACACACACATATATATATAAAATATATATATATATATATATATATATATATGATAGGCCCCATGGCATTAGGGGGCCCGACTGTAGCCCGGTGACGCAAAGCAACACGACGAAAAATAGAATCAAATCGAAAACAAGTAAAACTCAAATAGAACAAGCACAAACGAGCTAACATATGAACAGCAAGCCGACTACGAAATACCCTATGAAAAGTGAAAATTTGCCCGGATAAGTCGAATCATAAGGAAGAGCTGACAAGTTGCACCAGGAAAACAAAGGTACCCAACTCTTTGATCTCTAAGAACTTTGACAGATTCCTCTTGATATATGTATATATATATATATATATATATATATATATGATATATGACATATATAAAAACCTGAACATGCCCTTTCCGAGACATGATATAAATATATGTATATGTGCTGTGAGCTATAAAAATATATACAAATTATATATCTTATATATAGATGTATAAAAAGTAGGGTATATATAAATAAACATAAATATATAAAATGTAGGGTATATATAAATAATATAAATAAAGTAGAGACACGAGCTGGAACTTTCACATAACAACATAAATGTAGCTAAGTTAAGCCTTCTCCAAGATATATATCCATATATAAAGTTTTGCTTCTAAGAAATCGGCGATAACTAAATGATATAGTATTCCGATTTCGATAGAGAAACCTGGGAAAACTTTGACTAAGACTTTAAAGCCATGTATATCCCAACAGCTTTTGCTGCTGATCGGGAATATATATATATACATATATATCCTGTGAGCTTTAAAGTGTATTCCTCTAGGCGTTACACACTGCCTGAGAAAACGAGTAATACCCTGTGTAAGAGTATGCTCATCAAGCAACCCAAAATAGACAACAGGCAGCTCATGAAAGTTATATGCCTAGCAAATCTATAATAATATATATTTAAAAATAAAATAAATTTCCTTTTTTTTGTTGAGAATGCCAAAAATGTGTTATTTGCACTGGAACAAAAGCTAAGAACAAGAAATAACATATTATTCGAAAATAAAATAACATATTATTCTGGTCTGGCTGCTGGCATATAAAAAAATCATTTCAATAACAACAACAAACAATCGCTTAGTCAAAGAAAAACAATTTAAGGAAAAATAACAACAACAACAAATAAAATAATATATATAGAATTTTTAAAGCTCGCATCGCGTCCGAGATAAGGTCAAGTCAATGAGACAATCGTCGGACAGTCCAGAACCAAGACTTCTGAATGAAGAACCGAAGATCAGAAGATCCTCCTCCCTCGACAAATACCCTATATTTCTGTTTAAAAAAACTCCGTCTGATATATATACATATATATATATATATATTAAATATAAAATCTAAAAAAATATCAAAAATATTTTGAAAATGTTTATAATTTTATTAACATATATATATATATATTTTTTTTTTTTTTTTATATTTTAAATATAAAATCTATGTTTAAAAAAAACTTTAAATTCCTTTAGGAAATACAAAAACTA